ATTCTATTTTTGATATTTATTATTAAATAGATATGTTTTAAACCATTTGATGTCATGAAAAACAGTTATTGTAACATGTTAAAAATGTAAAACTTTTACTTAAACCAAGTTTTCAAACCTTATGAACTTCTTACTTTTGCGCATGCGCAGAACCGATTTTTTAGTGGCGAATTTCACAATAAAACTCCTGGATTTTTATTTTTAATGTTACAATAACTGTTTGTCATGACATCAAACGGTTTAAAACATATCTATTTAATAATAAATATCAAAAATAGAATTTATTCTATATTTTACAAGAGAAGTCAACAGTGTGGGTTTAATTGACAAAATAAAAGGAAGTATCTTTGAAGAATTTATTTAGCTTCACACTGCTTTGTTGTGTCATTTAGTTATTATATATATTATAAACCTTAAGCTAAATTGTATTCATGGTTCTTTTCTTTGACAGTTTGCCACAACCAATTTAATGCTTATTAAATTTTATTAATATAATTAAGAGTTTGTAAATGATGTGACTCAAACCTTCAGCTGATCTCCTCAATAAACCAGAAACTGATGTCTAAACCAGCAGTTGAGACTGTTTATGAGAATGTCCCACCTGCATCTAATGACCACGAAACAGGACCGGACCAGAACCAGACCCCTCCACTGTGTCCTTGTGGAGGTCTGCCATCTGCTCAGGTCTGTTATCAGTTCCTCGCCCCCACAGCTGCTGGGAGCCTGAGAGGAGTAGAACCGTGGATCCTGGGAACCGTCAGTTTCAGCCAGTCAGAGTCCGTTTTGGAGGTAGAGGGCGAGGACGACATGAGCTCAYAAAGCAAATGAAACTTTAAGGATTTTTTTATTAATTCAGGAGCGGAGGTGCTTCTAACATTATGTCCTKTATTTAACCCTGAAGTGATGTAATCTGTAGTTGGACTACACGAGACTAGTTTGAGGATTAGATGAAGACACTTTTGTTTTTTTAAAAATCCAACTCAAATGTAACATTTTGCTGCTGAACTGCAGCTTCTGGGTGATTCCTGAGTTTCAGTGAGTTGAGTTTGATYCTGGGTTTTGGAGGTGGTTCCATAAAAAGCCCAGGTGTCGGTTCTGAACAGCTCTGGGTATCCGTTGATTAACAGAAAGGGTCAAAAATAGCAAGTCTTTTCTCCCAGGGAGGGTGTTCAACAGTCCACACCCTGGTGATGATGTGACCTCGATAATCAGGAAGCTTTTCTGCTGTCCAGGCTCTTCCTGTTACAGGAGGAGGAGCTGTGGTGTAATGGAGTTTTCCTAATGTGCAGCTAAAAACAACTTTAAAACAACTTTAAAACATCTTAAAAACAATAATAACACATCGAACTTATATACAGCGGGTAAAATAAGTATTGAACACGTCACCATTTTTCTCAGTAAATATATTACTAGAGGTGCTAATG